TTTCCTTATTTTCTCCCAAACAAATGGAGTCTCTCTCTCTCTCTCTCTCTCTCCTCTTTGGGGTTGCCTGGGGTTGGGGAAGAGTGACACAAGTACCTCTGTGGCCACCACCAATGAGACTGTGCTGGGTCAGACCTGAAGTCATCCCAGCCTTGTGCCTCGCTGCAAGGTTCACCGCAACCACTGCCTGAGTACCACCTGTGTTTGTTCAGGGATCAAGGGCTTTACAATCAGCAGGTGCTGAAACCAGCCAGGCTTTTGACCTTTTATTCAGAATGGCGAGCTGCCTCCCCTTCCCAGACAGGCTCAGAAATGGTATTTCGAGCCAGGGTCTGCAGTCAGAAGCCTCAGGAATCTACCTGATACTCTATTTTACTGCGCGTGAGCTGGCACCCAAGACGTAAGACAAAGTTCTTCCCACTCTTCTCTCTTTTTTCCACTAGCAATGAAGTCTTTTCCTATGGCCACCACAACTGTGAATGTGTTGAAGCCAGCGCATCCATGAGTCTCACCCAAGGCCCATGTCGAGTACTGCTTGGGCATTCTATTCAGAGCCCTAAAGCTTTTTAGTCAGCAGGCGATAAATCCTGCTAGGACTGGGCTTTTTCCTTTAAGGCAGTGGGTTCCTTTCTGGCCCAGGAGATGTCTATAAATGTTGTCTGGGAGCTAGGGGCCTCACAGCTCTGGCTGGTCCCATATTCTGCTGTGGCTGAGATGGTATCTAAGTTGCCAGACAAAGTCCTTTTTACTCTTCCAAGTGAGGGATGGAGTCTCAGAACTGTGAACTGTGTTACCTGGGGTTGGGGGGTGGGTGTGGTGCAAGCACTCCATTTGCCATCTCAGCTCATGTCTCACTGGGTTGCATGCTCCCCATATCCACTGGCTTTGAGCCCAGCACAGAATCAGGAATTTCCCAGGAATTGTGGTCCTGTGGCCTAGACTACCTTTCAGGTTTATTTAGGACCCCAGACCCCTTTAGCTCATGGTGATGGGGCCTGCCTTTGTCTGAACTCAGGTTTATAGTGCTGGGATGGGCAAGTCCCTTCTGAATAGAGCTTGTCTAAATGCTCCCTCCATGAGGGGTGGCTGAATTCTGCCTGGTGTTGCTTTCCACTGTGACAGGTCATCACTGAGTTTCAATGAAAAGTCTCACAATTACTATGCTGTCCCTTCCATAAGATCACAGATTCTCTTCCTGTACCCTGTGGCTGCTACTGATAGATAAAGGAGATGGCATTGAGAATTTAAGACTGTCTTTTCTACCTCTTCAGTGCCTCTTTTTTATGTGTAAAGTTAAAACGAGGTACTGTGATTGCTCATTTGATTGTTGGTTCTTATGACAGTGATTCTTTTGTGTGGAGGTGTTTCTGTGAGGAGGATGATTAATGGAGGCTTCTCTTTCACCATCTTCTTATACTTCTTCTTTTGGTGGTGTTATGTATCCTTGGGTTTTCATGATTATTCTTACCTTCTGTTGATGTATGTGCGTGTAAGAAGTACGGACTTATTCCAGTGTGTTTAGATTGTCTTTGTGTGGAAAACGTCTTCACCAGTCAGCCCATGTGGTGATTCTTGGCAAGCTGTTTGGCATGGTTGCTAGGTGGGCTTGTTACTGGAATTCTTGGGCAAACTGAACTGGTAACTGGGTCAGCAGGTTATGTGTCCCTGGCCCCTGGGTTCATTAGGTTGGGCTTTGGTCCTGGAACCTCTGTGTGGACCAATTATTTTGGTCTGTAGGCTTTGTCCTCAAACCTGTTTGTTTGGGAACTGGCCTTAAGCTTGGGTCCACAGAAGCTGACCTGGCGTTGAAGTTGGCCTTGAGCTTGTGTCAGGAGGGGCTGGCTAGGTGTTGGGATAGGGTTGGTGCACAGGTGCGTTGTGATGTACCTTGAGTCCATGGGACCTGACCTGGTACTTGGTTGGTCCTGGAGCCAAAGCCTTTTAGGGTGGAACTTGTTCTTGTGTCTGCAAGAGTGAATTTGGAGACTCTTTCCATGTGGTTTGGCTTGGCACTGGGTTCTGCTGTCACAGTATTGGTCTGTGGGTCTGCTGGAGTGTGGCTTTGCGGGGCCTGGCCTGGAGGTGGGGCCTCAGGGACCAGCGTGGCATTGAGTATGCCCAGATTCTGTTTTTGCATGTTCTGACCTTTTGCCTTAAACCAGGATGCTAACCTGCTGCTGTTTTGGGCCAATGCTTGTAGTAGTATGGGCCTCTGTTGTACTGGCCTGGTCTGAAACCTGAAGGAATCCTAGAGGCTAGGGCTACAGGGACTGGTTTTGTGTTGAATGGGCCTGGACATTTTATCTGTAGGTGCCATCCTGGAGGCTGGGACTTTTTGTGCTGGCTTGATGACTAGGGCTTTAGGCACTTGTCCTGTGCTGGGACATGCCTTGTAATGTGGGGCCATGCCTTGTAATGTGGGGCCATGTGAGCCAATATAATAATGGGAGTATTCAGGAGCCCAGTACTGCTGGGGCTGTCCTGGTTCTGTAGTATGCCTGGAGGTTGCATGTAGACCTTGTCTACTGGGCAGGCCTGGAACCTAGAGCGGTGGGATCTCACCTGATGCCAGGGTGGGCTTGGAGGCTTGGGCTGCAGGTGCTGGTTTGGTGTTAGGTGGGCCTGGAGCCTATATCTACAGAGGCTGGTCTGGAGGCTGTTTCTGAGGGTGCTAGCCTGATGATTGAGCTGCAGGGGCTGGCCTGATGCTGAGGTGTGCCTGGTTCCTGGGGTCATGGGGCCAGCCTGGCACTGAGGGTATTGTAGAAGCCTGGGGTTATCCTGGAGATTGGGCAGGCCCAAAGACCAAGTCTGGTAGTCAGGTGTGCAGCCTGGGGATGTGGCATTTGTTCAGGCCCTGGAGTGGGCCTGGAGGCTCAGTCTGTGTGTACAATCCTGATGTCTGTGACTGTGGGGGTCTGCATAGTACTGCATTTTATCGGTGAAACAGTAAACAATTGCCTGGTATTAGAGTTCAAGGCAAAGTTGACTGCTCTGTTTTCTCTTTTTTCCCCTAGCAATGAATATTTCTCTTCATTCTATACTGTCTGAGATTGGGGAAAGATGAACAGGAAATGTTAAACTATCCTTACCCTGTTCAGTGTGCCTTTTACTTTTTTTGCTACACTCAGTTGCTATAATCTCCCACCTGGTTTCCTCAGGTTTCATGAATGTGTTTTTGCATGTGGAAAGTTGTTCAAATTGATGTTTCTGTTGAGGGACAAATGTTGGAAAGTCCTATTCCCTTAACTTGCTTATGTGAGTCTCCATTGATTTTTTTTAATTAAAACCAGCATTTGGTTTCATTGATTTCTGTTCTAATTGCTTTTATTTATTTTCTGCTTTCTTTGGGTTTAACTTTCTATTTTCTTAAGTTTTTGAGACACATTTTATTTTTAATATAAGCATTTATTTCTTTGTCTAGATCTCCTTTTCCATATGGTACTTCCAAGGAGTATCATACTCTTTCTATTTCAAGAACTTCCTTTAAGTTCCTTTCAGTGACAGTCTACTGCCAATGAATTTCTTTAATATGTATTCATCTAAAAGAATTTTTATTTTTTAAATTTTATTTATTTTTATAATTTTTATTTTCTGAAGCCTAGTTTTACTGTGCATGAGATACTGGGTTGACTTTTCTTTTTTTCCTCTTTCAGTACTTTATAGATATCACTCCAAAGCTTTCCAGCAAGCATAATCTTCTGTAACTCTTACCATTGGGTCTCACTACACAATGTGTATTTTCTTTGGCCACTTTCAAAGTTTTTCTTTATCTTTGGTTTTTAGCAGTTTCACTATGAAGGCAAACTAGGGGCATATGTTTATATTTGGTATTTGATTTGACATTTGTACTTCAAGGGATTCTCTGAGGTTCTTGTGTTTAATTTGGTGTCTTGCATTAGTTTTGGAAAATTGTTGGTCATTATCCCTTCAAATATGTTCTCCATTTCCATTCTTTTTCTTATTCTTATTCTTTTTCTATATATAATAGGCTGGGTTAACTCTTGGGGGATGCACTTTTGTTTTGTATTCCCCACTTATTTTTATTCTTTTTATTTAGTTTGGATAATTTTTATTGACTAATTTTTAAGGTTATTTACATTTTCCTCAGCTCTTTCAAGACTCAAGAGTCCCCAAAATGAAGGAATTCTTCATTTTTAATAGCATGTTTTTTATTCCAGAATTTTCTTCCATTTAACTAGAGCATCTATCTAGTGTTTTTTTTTTTTTTTTTTTCCTCTCTTTGGATTCTTCAGATCACTCTGATTGAGACTGTGTCTCAATGATTTGAAGTTCATAGGCCTTGGCTTCACTGTGTAAGTCAAATTAGCTTTCTATATTTCTGAAGTTAAATGGTAGAAAAATAATTTTGTAAATATTTTAGTTCATATAATTGAAAATATACAGCAATTGGTAGATAGAAATTTAGAATTATAATTTCAAGAAATATTTCCATAAACATGTATTATATTGATTGGTTATTTAATATGTGCATTAGAAGGTGGAGACCGGGCATGGTGGCTCACACCTGTAATCCCAGCACTTGGGAGGCTGAAGCAGGCGAATCCCTTGAGGTCAGGAGTTCGAAACCAGCCTGGCCAACATGGCGAAACCCTGTCTCTATTAAAAATATAAAAATTAGCCTGCACAGTGGTGTGTACCTGTAGTCCCAAATATTCTGGAGGCTGAGGTGGGAGAATCGCTTGAACTCAGGAGGCAGACAATGCAGTAGGCCAAGATTGCGCTGCAGCTGCGCTTCAGCCTGGGCAACAGAGGAGTGAGACTTTGTCTCAAAAATAAAAAAAGAACTCGAAACTAGCTGCAATACTTTTACAAATAATGTGCCATGGAAGGTGTTATCATCAGAAAATTAAAATTTCATTCTTTTTATTCTTATCTTGTATACTTTTTGGTTATAAAACTGTGTCTATAAATTGTGACAATTTTTTCTTTAGAGACCATTAGTAAACCAATATTTTTCTTATCTGTTTTCTCTGCAGAAAACTGCATCAGCAGTTTGAAATGTATAAGGAGCAGGTAAAGAAGATGGGAGAAGAATCACAACAACAGCAAGAACAGAAGGGTGATGCTCCAACCTGTGGTATCTGCCACAAAACAAAATTTGCTGATGGATGTGGCCATAACTGTTCATATTGCCAAACAAAGTTCTGTGCTCGTTGTGGAGGCCGAGTGTCATTACGCTCAAACAAGGTACAGAAATGAAAATTACAATTCTCTTCTACTTAAGCTTATTGTGAATAAAGATGACTGAAATTGATATTCAGAATAACCAAAGAATAAAACTATATTAACTTCATTTTAGATAAAATTGTGGTTTTAAATTTTGTCATGGCATTAAAAAGGTCTTATTGTTTCATGCCAGTTAGCTTATGATTTTGTTTTGAATCATAGCATCTTAGACTTTCAAAGATGAAGATAATTTTGAAATCAACCAGCCTCACTCCTTTATTTTATAGATACAGAAAATTCAGATCAGAAAAACTAAAGTTTGTTCTTAAAGCCACACAACTGATTAATATCAAAGTTTTGATACAGCTTTCTCCATACTTTTCATACTTCTACAAATGTTATAGATCTCTTTTTTGGCTCATTTACTTTTCTTTTGCAAGAGGCCCTTTCCAGCTTTAAGTTTCTGTTTCCATAAATGTATAGCTGTATTCCTCTGCTTCACAATGGAAGCTACATTCCTTTGTTATTGTTTTAACTTATTTAATGTAATAAAATAAACATTAGATGACAGAATTTAAAGAAGAAGTGTTAAGGATTTATTTCGTACTTACACTAGATTTTTATAGTTTATCTATTCATGTTACAGAGTATGTTAATTTAACCCAAAGAATGCTTTGTTGTAATTAGCAAAAACAATATATAAAAATGTTTGTGACCAGGCGTGGTGGCTTACACCTGTAATCTTAGCACTTTGGGAGGCCAAGGCAGGCAGATCACTTTAGCCCAGCAATTCTAGCCCAGCCTGGGCAACATGGTGAAACCCTGTCTGTATTAAAAAAAACCACAAAAATTAGCCAGGGATGGTGGTGAGCCCCTATAGTCCTAGCTTCTCAGGAGGGAGAAGTGGGAGGATGACCTTAGCCAGAGAGGTCAAGGCTGCAGTGAGCCATAATTGTGCCACTGCACTCCACTCTGGGTGATAGAGAGAAAGTCTGTCTCAGAAAAAAAAAAAAAAAAAAAAAGTTTGGGCCTGTCTCGATGGCTCACTCCTATAATCCCATCACTTTGGGAGGCCAAGGAGGGTGTATTACGAGGTCAGGAGTTTGAGACCAGCCTGGCCAATATGGTGAAACCCTGTCTCTACTAAAAAATACAAAAATTAGCCAGCGTGGTGGCATGTGCCTGTAGTTCCAGCTACTCAGGAGGCTGAAGCAGGAGAATCTCTTGGACCCGGGAGGCAGAGGTTGCAGTGAGCTGAAATTGTGCCACTGTACTCCAACCTGTGCGGCAGAGTAAGACTCCATCTCAAACAAAGTTTGTGTCAGTAAATTCTTTAGAATTTGCATTTATCTACTTTCTTCACTGTTGGTAAGAATGTAAATTAGTAGAGCAACTATGGAGATTCCCCCCCCCCCAAAAAAAAAACCTGAGAAACTAAAAATAGAACCACCATATGATCTAGCAATTCCATTACCAGATATAGTACCCAAAAGAAAGGAAATGAACATACTGAAGAGATACCTGTACTCCCCTGTTTGTTGTGGCATATTAATAATAGCCAAGATACGGAATCACCCTAAGTGACCATCAACAGATGAAATGATTTTAAAATGTTGTGTATATACACTATGGAATATTATTCAGCCCTAAAAAAGAATAAAATTCTGTCATTGCAGCCACATGGATGGAAATGGAGGCCATTATGTTAAGTGAAATAAGCCAGGCCTGGAAAGACAAATAACATATGTTTTCACTCATATGTGGGAGCAAAAAAAAAAAAAAGAAAAAGGAAAAAAGAAAAAAATGATCTCTTGCAGGTAGTAAATAGAATGGTAATTACTGGAGGCTGGGAAGTGTAGGAGGAAAAGGGAATAAAGGGGTTGGTTAATGGATACAAAAATATAGTTAGATAGGAAAAAACAAGTTCAGTGCTCAGTTACAACAAGGAGACTGTGGTTAACAGTAATTCACTGTATATTTCAAAATAGCTGGGAGAAAAGATCTGGAATGTTCCCAACACAAAGAAATGGTCAATGTTGCTGTGACAGATATCTAAATTATCCAGATTTAATCATTACACATTGTATGACTGTTAGCATTATCACATATACCACATTAATATGTACAACTATTAAATATTATGTATCCATATTTTTTTAATTTAAAAATACTGAAAGATAAAAACTGTCAATCAAAAATTCCACAAGGAGCAAAAATATCTTTTTAAAAAATGAACACAAAATTTTTAGCATGAAAAAATTGAAAGCATTCATCATCGGCAGACTTGCCCTTAAAGAAATACTAAGGGAAATACTTAAGACAGATAAAATATAATACCAAATATAACTATAGATCTACAAAAAGTAACAAATGATGCCAGAAATAACTATGAGAATATAGATCTTTTCATAAAGTATTTAATATTTGAAATTTTTTGAAGATAAATGTTTTATACAAAAAGAGTAATAATGTTTATAAAATGAATAAAAGTAAAATATGACACCAGAAACTTAGAATCCAAAGAGGAGAAATAGAAGTACATTATTGTAAGTTTCTTATCAGTTGAAAGTTGACAACAATAATTTAAATATGTATTCTACAAATCTTGAATAACTTAATAAAATAACAAAACAGTTACAGCTATTGAGCCAACAAAGGAGAAAATGTGAATCATAAAATACTTGAGTAATCTCAAAAAAGGCTAAAAAAGAAAAAAGAAAGAACAGATAAGACAAAATCAAAAAGCAAGATGATGCAATCAAATGAAGCCATATCAATAATCACAGTAAATGTAAATTTTGTAAACATGCAATTAAAAGGAAGAGATTGTCAGGTTGGATACACAGCAAGATCCAGCTATATGCTGGCTATCAGAAAAGTATTTCAAATATAAGACACGAATAAATTTTAGGTAAAAGAATAGAAGAAGATATATTATGTTAATGCCTAACCCAATAGAATGGGAATCATATATACATACATATTTCAATATATATAAATATATACAAATATAAAAATATACATATTTGAATATATATATTCAAATATGCATATTTATTTATATATGTTCAAATATATATATTTATTTATATTCAAACATATTTATTTATATATATTCAAATATATATATTTGAATATATAAAAATAATTATATATATTTATTATATACATAATAAAAATATATGTATTATATATTATATATAATAAATATATGTATATATATACACATATACACAGAGACAGTGAGAGAGAGAGAGAGGGAGAGGGAGAGATAGAGCCAGAGAGAAAGAGAGAGAACACTTGGTCTATATATTTATTAGACCAAGGGAATTTCAGAGAAAAAATATTACCACTTGGTCTATATATTTATTAGACCAAGTGAATTTCAGAGCCACAAATATTACCAAAAATAAAGAATATCGGCCAGGCGCGGTGGCTCAAGCCTGTAATCCCAGCACTTTGGGAGGCCGAGGCGGGTGGATCACGAGGTCAAGAGATGGAGACCATCCTGGTCAACATGGTGAAACCCCGTCTCTACTAAAAAAAAAAAATACAAAAAATTAGCTGGGCATGGTGGCGCGTGCCTGTAATCCCAGCTACTCAGGAGGCTGAGGCAGGAGAATTGCCTGAACCCGGG